GATGAAAGCAAATGCAGCTGAAAAATAATGGTGGCATGGGCCTGATTTTCCATTTGAGCGTAGGCCTTTGGTAGCAGGGAAAAGATGCCATATATGAATTTGCTGTGTTTCCTACATACCACTTTGTGATAACAGGTTTGAGCAGTTCCTTTCCTATTTTAATACAATACTGCTCCTGATACAGAATTGGGTTGATGGGCTATGGGAAGTAGATACACTGATTTGGCATGCACAGAACTCTGGCCTCGTCTTAACTGAACATTGAGGGATGATTTAGAATACTGCCTGGAAGCCTAGCCTGATTACCAGACCTAGTGTCCAATCCTACTAATGCACATGTGACTAAACGGGGAAAAAAATCCCACCAACTATATTTCAACATCCAATGGAAAACACCCACAGAAAAGTAAAAACTGTTACAACATAGAAGCAAAAGGTTGGAGGGAATTTAAATAATTAAAGTGTTACTAAATCCAGTAACACACAGCATGGAAATGCAATTATGTTAGTAGATATAAACTGCTAAATACCTTTTCTCATCAGCAGTGTATAGCAGTCTTGTGACTTCTATCAGTGTCCGGTTTAGCACTGGTTACAGCTTGTAGGAGGAGTTTTCATTGTCCTCTGACTGTCCTATAAGGCTGCATGACCCCTGATCCTCTATCTGGACAGTGCAGATTTGCCCTGTGCTGATCACATGCACCCTCCCAAAGAAAAAAAAATATCTAGCAACACACACCAAACTGAGCATGTGCAGAGTGTCTCCTAGGGCTTTGTACTATCAGCAGATGGAATGGGGACAGTAGAAGAAGGGGAGGATCAGAGAAGACAGGATCCCAGGTTTAACTCCTTAGGTTCCACATACAGCATGCTTTACTGTATATACAAACTGATTTTACTGTTGTGGGTTTAGTAACACTTTAAAACATAAGTTCAATCTAAAACCCTTTGTTTCAGGATGATATGGTTGGCTTGTTTTCTTAGCAGACTGAAAGGTAATGTATGTTATTTGCAAAGTGAATGTTAGTAAATAAGGGGAGGTTGATTACCTTGAAAATCCAATCACATATGAGAAAAATGAAAAAAAAAAGATTTTTACTGACACAACTAGATTAAAGTGAACATTTACTACAGACAAATAGACTGCGCACTTTGCAAGTGCAGTTGCTCCAGAGATTAGTAAATGAGGCAAAGCTTCACTTTGCAAAGAATACCCAATCACATGCAAGGGAAATAAACTAAAATAGCATTCTCTTGCATGAGATTGGATGATGGAAGTCATTTGAACTTCTGCTCATTTACAAAGCTCTGGAGCATCTGCACTTGCAGAGTGCACAGTCTATTTGTATTTGTCTTTAGTAAACCATCCCCTAAACTTCACCTAATTTGCTAAGTGACATTCTGTAATTCTGTTCATAAATTAGCTCCACTGTCTTTGTGCCTTATTAGAGGAGTGCAGTAGAAAAGAAAAAACTTTTTTTTCAATGTAATGAACTACAGTCTACTGCAGTAAGATTCCACAATGTTTCTTACATGTGCAGTGGAAGTGTTTGCTTCCTAAACAAGTGTTTTTCAATTTAAAAAAGAAAATACTTTAACAGAATCACTGCTGCAGAGTGTCAGGGCTGCGCAAAATCATATATATATATATATATATATATATATATATATATGTGTGTGTGTGTGTGTGTGAGTGATTTTGCATTTCCGGCTAGGGGACACGCGTGCGCACGCCGCCCTACCCGTACCGCCATTAGCGGCTACAGCTGTCGATCACCGGGTCCCAGTCGGGGATTCCCCGTTGGCACCCGCTGATCACCGAGTATCACTGACAGGAGAGACTTGTGCAACACAGGTCTCTCTCCTGCAAGCAGTAACATGCTGCTGTGTATTTCTCTGCACAGCATAGAAATACACAGCAGTATGTTTCCCAAGTAAAACACGCACTTCACACTTAGCAAAACAGCACACAGTTAACTCTTTGAATACCCCGGATGTTAAGCCCTCCCTGCCCAGTGTCATTAGTACAGTGTCTGTGCTTTTTATTAGCACTGATCACTGTATTAGTGTCACTGGGGATGTCAGTGGCAGTTAGTCAGTTCCCATCCAGTGTCAGAATGTCCGCCGCAGTCCCTCTATAAGACGCTGATCGCCGCCATTACTAGTATGAAAAAAAAAATCCAGAATATATAACCCCATTTGTAGACACTATAACTTTCACGTAGGCCAATTAATTTACATGTACTGGGATTTTTTTTTAGCAAAGACATGTAGCATAGTACATTTTGGCCTAAATTTATGAAGAAATTAGATTTTTAAAATTTTTTTTTTACTGGATATGTTTTATAGCAAAAAGTCAAAAATATTGTGTTTTTTTCAAAATTGTCAGTCTGTTTTTGTTTATAGTGCGAAAAAAAATAAAATGCACAGGTGATCAAATACCACCAAAAAACATTTTGAGGGGAAAAAAAAGACATAAATTTAATTTATGCACAGCATTGAATACCTGCGCAATCGTCAGTTAAAGTAGCACAGCACCGTATCGCAAAAAATGGACTGGTCAGAAAGGGGGATAAATCCTCTGGAGGGCAAGTGATTAATGGTTTTGATCAATTGTGTCATAAATGCATTTTACGTTTACATGTTTAGAAATCCTGTTACATAATTTTTCATCTACAGTATTTCTATCAAACCTCAGTATTACAAATAAGCATTTATTACAGTGTGCCTTCAAGACAAATTATGTCAAAAGCAATACACTGATACTTTCTGGTAGGCTAAGGCAGTGTTTCTCAACCTTTTTTGCCGTTAACCTTTTTTGCAGTTAAGGCACCCTTTAAAATTATAGACAGTCCTGAGGCACCCTTTAAATTTATGGATAGTCCTGAGACACCCCATTCTAAAATGGGGTGCCTCAAGGTTGTCCATAATTTTAAAAGGGCACACCTGTCTAAAATGTGAAAAACTATTCTAATAGTTTTATATAACACAGCAACATCCAGATATGTAGGACACCCAACATTAGAGTTGATTTATTCTTCCAAAACAAATACACTTTTGCCCACTGGTACTGACTAGTATTCCAATGTTTCTTTTCTCCCTCAGCTTTTCACCATCACTGAGCTAATATGACCCCAGCACTGATGGAGAGGGGCAGAGAAGGGTCAAACTAGGATGTTGTGCAGGCAGCTGACATCCCCCTTATCAAACTGATGATGTCATTGGTTGTCAGGACGCCGGCGGCTAGAAGGTCATAATGGTGCACAATGAAAACCTGTGGCTTTGTGGAACTAAAATGTAGGCTTGTTCCACCCGCTGACTTGTATACAAGTTTTGGGCAATTTTTAGTCATTTTGCGAAAGCACCCCTGAAGAAACCTCAAGGAACCCCAGGGTGCCTGGGCACCCTGGTTGAGAAAGGCTGGGCTAAGGCAATTTAGTACAATTTTGCTGTCTTTGCTAGCAGAGGTGGAGTTGAGTGTCGGTCTTCTGCTCATTCAGGTCAGCTTTGCTGATAGGAAGGTAAAGCCAGCCCTCCAGTACCAGGCCAGGAAAAGAGGGGGGACTCTTTAAATACCTTTGGGTGCATGCACAGTAGTCCTAAGGACTGTTGCTATTTTCGATTAAATAGAAGTTCCCTGGACCCTATGAGTTCAGCAGCAGAGGCCAGGGACATTTTTGGAAGCACGTGGAATAATCCTTCATTCTGTGTCCCCCAACAATTAAATTAAAGATCTGGCCTCTTCTTCTATATCAATCTGCAGGGGCAAGCCAGAACTTTAATGCAATTGCCAGAAGCGCCTTAGCACGAAGAATTACTCTGCCTATCCCAAAAATGAATAAATATACCCCTCTCTATCCCTGGCCCCTGCTGCTGAGCAGATATGGCCTAGGGAACTTATTTAGTTGCTAGGAGTAGCGGCTGGTGGGATTACTGTGTGAGTACAATAAAGTGTTAAATGTCCCTACTCAGTGTGTGGTGGGGAGTGGTCGGCCCTGTCAGACAGGCTTTATGGGGCACCTCAATTTCTAATAGTGGTGCTGATTCAGGTTATAGCTGCCTGAAAAAAAAAGACTTCACATAGTGAGCTGGTTGTAAGTGGCAAATATAATTTTGTTATAAGTAACATTGCATATGTACCCGATTAACAGGAAAAGGTATATATTTTAGTGTCAAGATAATAAACAAAAACATATAAACAGACTGTGGATTCCGAATAACTTTCTTCCAGAACATGATTGAATCTGTCTGGTGGCTATAAAAAAAGATTGCCACTGAATTCAGAATATGTTTTCTGAACTAGAAAGACTTGTGTCTTATTTTAACATGGCTAACCATGTAACTAAAAACATGTACTCTGTATGTGAGAAACAGCAAAGGGCCTGTCATGGGTGTGTTTGTGAATATCCTATCTTCATCTTAAACTGGAAAGCAAAAGGGGTTCCCAGATAATAGGATTACCAATAAAAGGACGAGTGGTAAACAATCTAAAAAAAAATAACCAAATAGGCTGTGTTGTATTTTAAGGCTTAATCTTCAAGTTTTACTGAATTGAACGTTGAATGCTTTTCTACCTGCAATCTGTATATTAATGTTTCCCGACAGAATTCCCCCATGCTGGGGATATGGTAATAAATATCCTCCCCTTGAAAGCCACAAGCCAACCCTTTGAGGGTCCAGTGCCTATCCATCCTGGCAATCAATGACAGCTTCAGTCCCCACTGAGTGACAACTGGGAACAAGAGTAGCTCCATGACATCTGCAGTGGAATCATATTTAATACTGTAATTGTTCAATACAATGAGAGAATAAAAAAAACATATTCTTCATTTTTGCACAATTGTCAGCCTATGAAAAACAGGAGTGCATTTTTATTAAGCCAAATAAAAGCCATATTTACACTATATTACCAAACGTATTGGGCCATCCCTCCAAATCATTGTATTCAGGTGTTCCAATCACCTCCATGGCCACAGGTGTATAAAATCAAGCACCTAGGCATGCAGACTGCTTCTACAAACATTTTTGAAAGAATTGGTCTCTCTCAAGAGCTCAGTGAAATCAAGCGTGGTACCGTGCTAGGTTGCCACCTGTGCAATAAGTCCATCTGTGAAATTTCCTTGCTACTAAACATTCCACGGTCAACTGTTAGTGGTATTATAACAAAGTGGAAGCAACTGGGAACAACAGCAATTTAGCCACAATGTGGTAGGCCACATAAAATGACAGAGCTGGGTCAGCGCATGCTGAAGCGCACAGTGCACAGAAGTTGCAAACTGTCTGCAGAGTCAATAGCTAAAGACCACCAAACTGCATGTGGCCTTCACATTAGCACAACAATAGTGCATAGAGAGCTTCATGGGATGGGTTTCCATGGCCATCCAAGCAGCTACATCCAAGCCTTACATTACCAAGTACAATGCAAAGCATCAGATGCAGTGGTGTAAACCATGCTGCCGCTGGACTCTAGAGCAGTGGAAATGTGTTCTCTGGAGTGATGAATCACACATCTCTGTCTGGCAATCCAATCGGTGTCTGGGTTTGTTGGTTACCAGGAGAATGGTACTTTCATGACTGCACTGTGCGTTTACAACAACGTGAAAAGTTTGGTGGAGGGGGATTATAGTGTGGGGGGTTGTTTTTCAGGGGTTGGGCTTGGCTCCTTAGTTTCAGTGAAGGGAACTCTTAAGGTATCAGCCTACCAAGACATTTTGGACAGTTTCATGCTCTCAACTTTGTGGGAACAATTTGGAGATGGCCCCTTCCTGTTCCAATATGACTTCACCATGACCAGTGCACAAAGCAAGGTCCATAAACACATGGAGGAGCAAGTTTATGGTAGAGGAACTTGACTGGCCTGCACAGAGTCCTGACCTCAACCTGATAGAACACTTTTGGGATGAATTAAAGAGGAGACAGTGAACCAGGCCTTCTCGTCCAGCATCAGTGCATGACACACAAATGTGCTTCTGGAAGAATGCACTTCTGGAAATGCCTTTCTGGAAGAATGGTCAAACATTCCCATTGACACATTCCTAAATCTTGTGGACAGCCTTCCCAAAAGAGTTGAAGCTGTTATAGCTGCCAGCTCTGGTGGGCTAACTCAGTATTGACCTCTACGGACTGTGGGATGCCATTAAAGTTCATGTGCGTGTAAGGGCAGCCGTCCCAATACTTTTGGCAATATAGTAAGTATATACACTGCTCAATAAAATTAAAGGAACACTTTTTAATCAGAGTATAGCATCAATTCCATTAAACTCCTGGGATATTAATCTGGTCAGGTAAGTAGCAGAGGAGGTTGTTAATCAGTTTCAGCTACTTTGGTGTTAATGAAATTAACAACAGGTGCACTAGATGGGCAACAATGAGACGATCCCCAACACCATGGAATGGTTTTACAGGTGGTCACTGACATATTTTTCCCTACTCATATTTTCTGACTGTTTTTCACTAGTTTTGCATTTGGCTAGGGTCAGTGTCACTACTGGTAGCATGAAGAGATACCTGGACCCTACAGAGGTTGCACAGGCAGTTCAACTCCTCCAGGGTGGCACATCAATACGTGCCATTGCTAAAAGGTTTGTGTCTCCCAGCACAATCTCAAGAGCATGGAGGAGATTCCAGGTGACAGGCAGTTACTCTACGAGAGCTGGACAGGGCCATTTACCCATCAGTAGGACCGGTGTCTGCTCCTTTGTGCAAGGAGGAACAGGATGAGCACTGCCAGAGCCCTACAAAATTACCTCCAGCAGGCCACTGGTGTGAATGCCTCTGATCAAACAATCAGAAACAGACTTCATGAGGTTGGTCTGAGGGCCTGATGTCCTCTAGTATGCCTGGCACCATAGAGCTCAATTGGCATTTGCCATTGAACACCAGAATTGACAGCTCCGCCACTAGTGCCCTGTGCTTTCCACAGATGACAGCAGGTTCACCCTGAGCACATGTGACAGATATTAAAAGGTCCGGAGAAGCCATGGAGAACATTATGCTGCCTGTAACATCTTTCAGCATGAGCATTTTGGTGGTGGTTCAGTGATGGTTTTTGGGAGGCATATCCATGAAGGGACGCACAGATCTCTACAGGCAAGACAATGGCACCTTGACTGCCATTAGATATTGGAATGAAATCCTTGGACCCATTGTCAGACCCTACACTGGTGCAGTGGGTCCTGGGTTCCTCCTGTTGCATGACAATGCCCGGTCTCATGTTGCGAGAGTATGCAGGCAGTTCCTGGAGGATGAAAGAATTGATACCATTGAATGGCCTCCACACTCGCCTGACCTAAATCCATTAGAACACCTCTGGGATATCATGTTTCAGTCCACCCGACGCTACCAGGTTGCACCTCAGACTGTGCAGGAGCTCAGTGATGCCCTGGTCCAGATCTGGGAGGAAATACCTCAGGACACCATCTGTGGTCTCATTAGGAGCATGCCCCAACGTTGTCAGGAATGCATACAAGTACGTGGGCGCCATACAAACTACTGAGTACCAATTTGAGTTGCTGCAATGAAATTTCAGCAAAATGGACTAGCCTGCTGCATTATTTTTTTACTTTGATTTTCGGGGTGTCTTTGAATTCAGTTCTCTGTAGGTTGATAATTTTCATTTCCATCAAACAATGGGGCATCCTTACATTCCTAACACATTACCCAGCCCATATCAGTATAGATATCGAGCATGATATTTTGCCCCATTGAGATCTGATATGTTTTCAAAGTGTTCCTTTAATTTTTTTGAACAGTGTGTATATATATATATATATATATATATATATATAAATATATATATATTTTTTTTTTTTTTGTTTTTTTTTTTATTATTATTATTTATTTATGTATTTATTTATTTTAATCATGCAAATTAGCGATAGTGCTATTGTCAAGTTACTTAACAGATTCTAATGTTCTAATGTCTGATCTAGGTAACTAATCATCAATGTAGTTATTAGCAGTATTTTTTAGGGCATCTGATGATGCCCACCCTGTGAGGGCAAGAGAAACAGTGGCTCCCAAGATATAAATAAGGCACTGGTTCTCCTTTATCTTTCTAAATACCTCATGTCAGAGTCAGTAGTAAAAATCAGCTTTTTTAACAACACTCAACGCACCTTTCCTAAGTCAAGAATGAATACCATGCTTTATGTTTTATGCTAAGCACTGTGCCTGTTTCAGTTTCAGATATACATAGAAATTGGGCAAGCACAATAGATCCTTGCCTCTGGAAACTGGAATCGCTACGTCTCTATACTTAATTTAAAACCCAGGTTAATCAGAACTCTTCGGCTTTAACTGTGTTTCCAAGCTGATATTATCAATGGCTGAGAACATTTTTGAAAGCAGTGTGTGCATATGCCAATAGCACATTTTGGCCAACTGCCCCATAAAAAGCTTTAAAGTGTTTAAAAAATGGACTGATCATACTTAAGATATTCTATACATTTTAAAGTCGTTGATTAAGTGCATTAAAGCTCCATCTGGTGTGAACACTGATAGCAAATGGCAGCTGGACCAGCGAATAGGCAATTCCTCCAGTACTGGAGGGCTGCCAATGACTGGATGCAATTTTATGATCACTTTGGAAACATATTCAGCATGTAATGGGGATTTAAATATGGCTGGGATCATATAATGAGGTATCCCCAGGCAGCTCCTCATCTTCTGCTCTTCCTCTGAACACAGGCTTCTACTAAACACAGTATTTGTAAGCTGCGGGGAGCCTGGCCACATTGTGCAGCAGTCACATAATAATCTGTAGCACAGGCACTAAATAGTCCTTGTAGAATGAGGTTTCGAGGGACTATTTATCAAGTGAGAGAATAAGGAGCCACAAGCAGAAGTTATGTAATTAGCTTAATATTTTGTTTGTGTTTACCATGGGTAATTTACTAATGGAAAGTGGATCATTTTTTTAACAATTCCATGAAATTATAGTACTTTGCAGTGTGCCGGAGGCTTTACACTTAATAGTTTTCTGCTGCAAGGGCAAGCCAAAACAGCATGTTTTACACTAAGGTCTAGTCTTTGTTGCTGCTAATATCTGACACATGCTTCTGTTTGACAGTGAAGGAGACTAAAAAGGATCTCTCCAGCTAGAAGGACTATAGCCTCAATAAAAATGCTATGGTGCTTCTGCCCCTTTATTTCCGTTAAAATATTATTATATTTGTATATAAATACATACACTTTACATATACTTCTCAACTTACGTAACTTAAAGTGTATGTTAAATCCAAAACGTGTTTTGTTTCAATAAACTAGCAAAGCATTATAACCCTATCAGTTTTTTTTTTTTTGCCTTAAAGGATAAGTTCACCTTTTGAACAAAAATCATAAATGCACATTTTTTTGCAGGTAAAAAAATGTGCATTTATTATTTTTTTGTCCAAAGGAGCCTGGAAAGCATTGCACCAGCGATCAGTAGATCACTGATGCCATGCAGGTCTCCTGCAGACCTGTCAGAATATCTGTTTGCCAAACAGGGATGTATGAGCAAGCAGATATTCTGACTGGAAGTTTCAATGAACTACCACGGCACTCCACAGTGTTAATTCATCGAAAACTAAAAGCCGACAGCCACTAAGGCTGTTGGGACTTGCAGTTCATTCATTCAAGGAAGTCCGTGAATGAATGACACAGCCGTGTGGGCGGAGCCCCACCCGTGTTGTTTTCAAATCTGACAGATAGTATGTGGAGACTTCTCCCCGTATTATCTGTCGGGGGGGGGGGGGTACAGCTGCATCATTAGGAACATGTTACATGTTCCACCTTAAAAATGGGTGGAACATGTAACATGTTCCCAAAGGTGAGCTTATCCTTTAATTCACGTTTTGTTCTATTTTATTTTTTTAGGTTCCATGTTAAAGTGAGCCTTTCATATTTACATAGTTAGTCTGGCTGAAAAAAGACAAAAGCCCATCCAGTTCAACCATAGAAAAAAAAAAAGTTATAATCCTATACCCACAGTTGATTTCCTTACCAAAAATGTCATTAAAGCCTAAAAGTAAGTTATTGCACCTGTCAAGGTATCTTTTATGAATTCCTGAAGCCCAAGGCGGATTGGCACACTAATATGCAACTCTTGTCTAGAAAGTTGAGGTCTGGCCTCCCCTGTTCCTCTTCTCACATTTTCATTAGGTCAGTAAAGTGAGAGATGAAGGGAAGCTAGCCCCTAAATGTGTCAGCAAAAGTCGTCAGTTGCTTAATTTAGAATTCCAAAATTTAGAGCACTCATGCTGCCACCTGGCAGACATCAAAACTGTGTGCAAAGCCTTAGCTCTGGTTCACATGGGTGCTATTTGTCATGTAATTTGACTGTCCCAGATCGCATGACAAGTTGCACCCCATTGCCAGCAATGAAACCTCTCAAATCGG